GAGGAATAACAAGGACTTTGCATGTGTTTGTGAATTCCCACACATGGGAGCCATTCGGAACATTTAGCTTTTAGTTACGGCTCCTTCAGTGAATTATATACTACGGTGTTTATATATTCTAACGTTGCTATCAGCTAAATTATGTGATGGGACTTCTATTCCTCAAGAGAAACTACATAAACTTCACTGGGCCACCAAGAGATCGGATACAAACAGAAATGGATGTAACAGCCGCTCTGATGTCGGTGGAAAAAGTGTTTTAATTTCAACGTGTAAAAGTGTCACTCTCCCATTTATCATAGCCTTCACTGTTTCTGATAGTTCTCACACTAATGCAAATATAGGGTGATTCATCTGGCTGGGTAATGCTCTGAGTGAGGATTTGTGGCAGTTAATCACTGTGAAGTGGAAAGCGAGGTCCTCGTGTCTCATAATGGTAAAGTGAATCATGTAAAAACATTTACTGCAGACCTATTTTAGACTTTTACGCACCAGATTTCTTTTTTTTTTTTATATGCTGAGACTAAGTGAGTAGAAGAACCTCAGCTGAAAGAGGGCAGTCTGCATTGGTGGAGTAGATGATCTTGGAAGAAGACAGACTAGCAAGCTATGTTTTGATTCAAAGGTTCAACCCTCTTTCTTCCGGCTCCACCCCTAAGCCACACCTCTATAATATAGGAAAATGTCACAAGCATTGGATTCTGTCAAACAATCATAAAAACATAATGTTGTCTTACCTTTTTGACTCGTTTGCTCCTTTTTTTTTCAATAATTTGTAACACACCTACGTAACAGCCACATAACCTCCAGACTTCTGACGGACCCCTCATAGTCCGATGCCGGTCAGGAGTTCTCCGGACTATATCCCGACTATAAGTTTAAGGGAGAGAAGCTACTGGGACTTAGATCACAGATCCAGTCACGAGAACTGGTCTTTTCACTAAGGAAACTCTCTCTGCTACTTCCACCAAGGCTACATAACCGTCTAAACATTTAGTATGCTAGCTGATATAGCTAGCCCTAGCCTGGCAAGCCATCCTATATATGAGAATACATAGTCTGGCCACTGTCTATTGATGGCTCTCAGTCGTGGGGTGAATATACCATTGTCTTTCAATCTGTCTCCTCATGTTATTGGATAACAGACAACGTGACATACTCACCGCTACGGATGTCAGTCAACGAGGCAGTCCGCCATACTCTGTCACAGAAGATGCAAATATGTCCTTTTTCTAAATAAACAAGTACATCTGTCTGTTTGTGACTCAAATAAACATAAAACATTAAAAAATATAAAATAATCCATGTTTTTTTTACGTGCTGTGATTGGCCAAAGATGCGAGGTTGCTAGACCGTCAATTTAGCTTCACAAATGACGGTCTTACTTCTAGGCTAAATTACATAATTTTTTTTTTTTTGGAAGACAAACTTTTGCAGCTTTAAAGCTGTTTATCTCATACCTGCTGACAGAAAAAAGAAAATTAAGTAGTTTTAATTTACAGCAAAGCCAAAATTACCTTTTTTTAAATCTCGATTCTAGGCTAAGCTAGCCCGGTTCTGGCTTCACTTCCTGATCAGCTTTCTCAAGCCGTAAATGCGTGATTTGTGCACAAGAAGGGGTATGTGCCGATGGGGTGAGATGGTAATAGAGCAGTTTGATGGACGGGTGCCATCTATATATGAGAATTACAAGCAATTTGGCAAAAAATGCTCCAGAAAAACATCTCAAATCCAACCTAAAAGGTTTCTCACATCTGTCCAAATGTCCCTCATCATCTTTTGTTTCCATGCTGCCAAAGAGAGGAATATTCAGCATCAAGCTTACTGGGATGGTGGGACAGAGTTGGTGCAATATCATGTTAGGTCAATGCTGGAGGACAAAAACCTTGATGAAGATGATGATGATGAATTTTTGGAAATACGCATATCCCCCAGAATCACATTCCACCTTTTTGTTTGTGATAGCAAATGAACTCTAAAAGTGTCCAAACCAACGCAAGGATGTTCATGTCTCCATAACATCGTCGGACAGCTGAATATCTGACAACAGCAGCAGGTCATGTGGCCATCTCTTCCCCAAATGATCTACATTTGCAGATTTCCTACACGGTCCAGTCCAAAAGATCTGAGTCTGAAAGCAGACTCGGAGTTTGTTGTTTAGTAACTTGACCCTTCTTCTCCAGCTTTCTTCTCAACCACACTGGAATCCTGATTGGCAGTTGTGACAGCTTAAAGCTGTGCTATGAGTCAGTGAAAATCTAAAGCCGTATTCTGGTTCAGCCATGCAGGCAACTACTTGATTTAATATGCTGTTTTATGAAGCATGATTCATATTTCAAAAGCCACCTTTCCAAAGTGGAAATGATTCCATGCTGGAGCTCAGACGGACTTAAAACTTTGATCCTCCTTGGTGATCAGGGTAATTCTCCTCAGTGTGTATGCGTGTGCAAATTTAGTGTTTCTTTTTTCTCATATCAGAAACCAGACATCAGAATTGGCGTTGCTGTGTGATTGCTGTAGCAGTCATCAACATGCCTGAAACAACACAGACTTCTTTCCCATGATCCCCGGCAGTCGGTACACTTGGGTGGTAATCGGTGAATAACCCTGCTCATCACTTTTATCATAAACTACAAGCTCCTTCGAACACATGTTCAATTTTAAACACGCTCTATGTGAAGATGTGACAGCGTTCAGATAACAATCAAAGGAATGCTTTGATCTGATTAATGCTGAAAACAAGCAACTAGATTGGCTTCTTGTGCTTTGATTAAACCACAAAACAATAACTGTGGCAAAAGGAAATAAAACATGTTGATGCAATCCACTTGCTTTGATTCTTCAAAGGCTTTGTCAAGTTTAAATACTAAGAAATAGTAAAAGTCACATGATGCAAGTCTGTTCCATTTAACAGTTTTCGCTGACCAAGAAAGGACAGTGTCCTCGTAAGTAAGGTGCCTGGCCTCGCAAGGCCAGGCGCCATGACATTGAGAAACACCCCTGGTTTGTTAGCCTGGCAAGCCAGATATAAAAAGATTATATATATATATATATATATATATACATAGACGGTGAAAATACATCTTTTTTTTCTAAATGAAGGACTTAAATTAATCTATCTGCTCCTGATTCCTATGAAGCCCAAGTCCAAATAGTCCAAAATTTATGTAAAAGCCTTTTCAAACGAGCTGTCACCATCGTTTTCCACTCTGTCGCATCATTACGCCTTCCAGACGTATAGAGGACCCTGATTGGCCCGCAAAGACGATAGAGCGCTATGATTGGCCCACCATCGTGGATCAGTCACAGCACTCTTATCAGTTTGAAACCCCTGCAGAGAGCTGTGGCTGCTAAGGGCCACAGAGGTTCCAGAGCGTTCCTAGACCAAACTTTGCAAAGCAAGAATTTGGTCTTGTTTACTGGGCTAATGGCTAATGTTTTAGCAATAGCTTTAGCCCCGTGGCGATCTGGTGCTCGAGTGAGTTCAGTTCACGTTCAGAAAAAAAAAACAAGTTCACCAACAATCGTTGAATGAACTCATTCAGGCACAACACTGTTGTGTTGTACTTATAAACCTTTCCCTTCTCAGGTGTGCCTTGGTTTGATGCAGGTTGTGGTTTTCTTTCTTTTTGCTCTCATGGTTTGTTCTTTCTGTTCTGTTAAAGCTTTGAAATGCAGCTGCAATCTCCTCAGTTCCACCTGATTCTCTGAAGCGGCTCATATACAAGTGTGAGAACATGCAGGCGTTTTGGGAATTGTAGCAGAATATAAAAGTAACTATATTGACAATAACACTTGGTTATCACAATAGATTACAACCACTATGTGGCATAGTGACGTACCATTCATCTTCCTTACACAAAAAACAAGTAACTTGGCGGGAAAGATAACTTGAAACAATGCACAAGACTACGTCTAAAAAATATTTATTGCACATAGAGTTTATTTCTTTGCATATGTGACATATTTATCACACTGTACAGCCCTGAGAATTCATCCACAACAGATGGCACAAAAATGGCTACACTCCAGTGACACAAAAAACAAAGAAATGGTGATTCCCACCATTTTTATTCATGGGCAGGCTCTTGAAATTGTGTAACACTACAAATTTCTTGGTATAATTATTGACTGTTGAGGCCAGTACAGGTGCAGTCTGTAGGCTCACTAAGGCTTTTTTATCAGGAATTGAGAATTTTTAATGTTGACGCCCCTTGAAGATGACGATGATTTACTTTTGTTTTATCACGTCAGCCGTAAAGTTTAGTTTTATTTTTTTCACCCTTAAACAGTAACCCTGAAAACGAACACAGACTAAATAATATTGTAAAGAAGTGTTGCAAAATGATTAGGATAAGTCTCGCACTACCTCCGCAGAACTATATAGGAAACTTTTAACTAATTCAAATTATTATTTAATTGATCTCTAAGGAAATAACAATTAACCTATTCAGGATGGTGGCTTCAGTAAACATGACCAAAATCAAGTTTACCAAACACAAAATTAACTCAGCCAACTTAATCAGATAACCAGCTAAATGCTCATCTGGTTGTTATAGTGATCATTCTCAGTTAAATTTAGCAATTTTCCCCAAAGGAAAAAAAAAACTGATCTTTTAATATTTAATGGGGTTTGTTTTCGTTTATTCCACATGGAAAACCATCAAAAATATTTTAAATATGGTTTTTCAAAAACTACAAAAATCAAACTAAAAAAAGTGAAAAGAAAATCAAATAAACAGCCTTGTTTTGTGGCTTGAAGCAGATTTGTCTAATTTTATGCTCTATTAATTTAAATCAAAACAATGGAGTCCAGGCTGCTTTTTGAGGTAAAAATAACCCACTTTTAGGTAAAAGTTCTTTTTTTGTGGCATTTTAAATTCCCCTCTTTTGGAAAATTGTTTCCTTCTGTTAATTCAATAAAAGCACTGCAGTGAGGACAACTTTGTAAACACTAAACACGTGTTTGTGTGATTTTGTTTTCCTAACAATGACCTCACCTCTTCCTCTGTCTCAGGACACCGATCATTGGGAGAGGTCAGCACCCAAAGTCGCTGAGATGGCATCAGCCTTGATCCGGGACAGGAACCCTGCCTTGGTGGGACAGCTTCTACAGGCGTGAAGGGATAAACTCATCAGAGCTGCGTTTGGGAATTTCTTTGACCTCTCATGAAGAGTAAAGGGGTATTTCTATTGTATGATGTTTGTGGGGAAGCTTGTGTCATCAAGGATATAACATCAAATTAGTGGTTTTTCATCAATATTCGATTAAAAGATGATAATTTCTGCATAGAGTTTAGATACTTTGAGCAGATCACTTTAGGTGGTCGCACCAGGAGATGCTCATTGTTCTGGAGCAAAAGGATGACATTACATTGGTTTGCTGCTTCAGATGATGTTTACATGGACTGTTTTCAGCAGCTGATTAATCCCCAATTTCATGTGTTAGTATTTACAGCTCAGAATCAGCTGCAGTGTGTGTGTGTGTGTGTGTGTGTGTGTGTGTGTGTGTGCGTGCGTGCGTGCGTGCGTGCGTGCGTGTGTGTGTGTGTGTGTGTGCACGCTGTAGTAAAGGGACTTGTCATCACTCGATGCAGCAGCATCTCTCATGTGTTTCTGATCTGCTCTGGATACCAACAGAGCTGTGTGGTACTGACATGTCGAGCTTTGGCAGAACAGCCAACACATTCTTGTTTTTATTTTTTTATTTTATTTATTCTTTAATCTGGAATCACTTGAAGTGCAGTGGATCTACAGTACATCACAGGTTTGCATCAACCACCCACACAACAATTAAGGAGGAATTTGATTAAATGCGTGTCAGATGCGTTGATTTACCAGCTGATGGAGCTGTGCAGGAATGCAACATATGCAACAACACAGTTGAAACTGGTTTTTCTTGATTTTCTCAGAGTTTAGGAAACGTTTATTTGTTTTGGTGATCCTGGGCGCTTCACCTGCCCCATGACGTTTACTTACTAGAGTTTAGGCATGCACATAAATACAGGAAATACAAACTTGAAGACTTGTGGTGTTCCAGCTCCTCTGCTCCATTAAATATCCCTTCACTTACCTAATTTACTTCATAAAGATCAGTAGAAAAAATCAGGAAAAATATTTAAATCTGGGGATAATAAATATGAAATTATAATAGTTAAAACATATTTAGCATGTTTTTTTTACCTTAAAATAGAAATGTTAGTTTTCTTATTAAAATATTTATTATATTTGTATTTTATTAGATTGATTTAGATTTTTTTGTGTCCTTTAATTTTGCAATCCTTTTAACCATTAAGACCATTAAACTAATATGTTTGTAATGTTGGCTGGCAGTTTATTGCTTTATGTTCTCTCCTGTGTCTAGTGTGTGCTAGCTCAGCTTTCTTACACTTTCTCAGGTTATTTTCCTTTTTTAGCACCTCTCGTTCATCTGCACTGTTCAGACGTGTTGGTATTTCCCTGAAACACCTAAAATTCTTCGTGGATTTTGTCTCATTTTCTGCCTCTTTACTTTGTTCTTCTTTAAATCCCAATTAAGATGGAACAACATTGCTCATATTTACATTAATCACCCAAAATATTAGAACCAGCTGCCAAAGGAGGCCTTCTGAATGCTGCCAACACACCTAGGATCCATGGAGCCATGCATCTCATAAGACCTCCGTAAGGTACTTTGTGGAATGAGGCCTCTGTGGTTTAGACCTGTTATTCTAACACATACCTCAGGTACGTGATCAGAGTGAGATCTGGAGACTGAGGCCAAAGCTGCTTCTGGTGTTGTTCCTCAAAATACTACAAGGACCTTTTTTTAGTGTAACATAGAACATAATCTGGTCGATAAAAAGTACTTTTCACATGTTCTACCAAAAGTGCACCAGTGAAAGCCATCAATGGGATGTTTTGGAACAGATTGCTTTTAAAGGGGACATATTATGACTTGTTTTAAGTTATGATACTTCTGTGATCGATACAAAACATGTTCATGAAGTTTTTGTTTTTACAATAAATCCCTCTCAAAAAGTGATTTCAGCAGTTTTAGTCTTGACATTTTCAGTACCTTCCAAAATAAGCCATTTCAGGGCTCTGTCACTTAAGAAAACAAGTTGGCCACGCTCACCCATCCCCCACTCAGGCTGCTATAAGCTGAGAAGCTCTGAATATCAGAAGGGGCTCAGAGTAGAGATGCTGCTCCTTCAGCAGCAGCTCTCTTGCACATGAGAGGCGGTGCTATTCTACTTTACACATTTGTGACATCACAAACAGGGATTTTTTTGAAACATCTTGTTTTAGGCACATAATTCCTAAAACCAAAACTGACAAAGGGGATGGATTTTTTTTTTTATGTTTGGAGTATTTATAGAGACAGTAGAGACCCATCTTGTAGCAAAGACATGCAAAAGGTGAATTTTGCATTTGTCTCCTTTAATGCTAATTTATAAACCTGTCATCTCAAAGTTTTTCCTCTAGCTGTCCTTCCAGGTAAGGAAACTCATGTGCAGCAGTTTGTCATTGGTGCATCAAGTATTTCATCTTTAAAATAACATTAGGAACATTTCATGACAACTTTTGAAAAGCATCTTTCTGTTTCCTGGTTTACCCGGTGATCCCTGAGTCCAGTCTCTGTCTCACAAAGTAACCTTTAGCCTTGAGTGTCTTTGACTGACACCACCCTCTGAAGACAGTCCAAAATATATAATCATGTTGTGTGGTGTAGAATTTTAGTAAGTCGGTGAGTTTAAATGTATTTAATTTTCTGAACAAAATGTATCCTGATGCACATTATTCTGCTTTAGTTATTGTCTACAATATAAATATGGACTTTCTTTGCATTTATCTCTGCATTAGAAGAATGCTTTCCTTCACCAGACAAGCAGATTGTATTTCAAGTGCTTTTGCCCCCCCTCCAGGTGTTACAACAAATTTATCTGCCTCATGCCTTTCCCAGTTATCTACATAAAAGTATCATCTGCAAAGAGGAGGTATTTCCATATGTTGGTTACCTTATGTCTTATGTCATTTATTTAAAGTGTAAATAATTTGAGCCCCAACATTAAACCTTGTGGAACTCCGCACTAAAAGAAAACATCTAATCAGAACTTGTGTTTGGAGAAGTTTTACAAGGTTAAATATTAGCTCCTTGACAGAAATTCACCAATTCATTTGTTTCCCCATCAAGATAGAGGATACAATGTTCACAGTACGTTATTGTTGCTAATACAACACTTCACAAGTGGCTTTAGCTTAAACTTTACAAAGTGAGATTTGTTGCAGAAGTTGAAACTACTTTGGTGTGAAATATAAGTCTATAACTAATAGGCCCAATCCCAATACTCACACTGCGCCCTACGGTCTTCTGTGAAGTGCACTTAGAGGAAGTGTGCAGCAAGGTTTCAAGTGCATGTTACACAAATGTGCAAATAATCACTGAATTGGGACAGGGAGCATTGCGTCATTGACTGCAATGCATGCTGAGATGCTGGTCGCTGTGCAACTTTAAAAAAAATAACTATCAACAACGTTCAAATAAACAACCAAACAATTATTTGAATTAAATTTACATTCATTGCTGCTTTGTATAAAACATTCTGAGCATCAACTAATCATCCTAAATAAACTACTTTCATTTGAAAATACAAATTTTCACAAGAGTCACTTGAGCCTTTTTTCTCGCAGCAATGGATTGTGGGTAATACCCTTCACGCAAGTCTGCATTGATGCAAGCTTGGGTGAAGTGCGGATCAAGGGTGCAAAAGGGGCATGAGCGACTTCCGCACTTGAGAATCGGGACACTCTACCACTCGCAACCTTGGCCGGGATGTGTGGAAGTGCGAGTATGAGGATGGGGCCGTAAACTGAGTAGCACACTGTCTTTAACATGTTCTTAAGGAGAAAAAAAAGTTAAGTTCATGTGATTGCAGCTGTTCACTGGCCCACCTACAAAAATAAATAAATAAATAAACAAGAAGAAGAAGAAGAGCAGCTTTGGATTTTAAAAGCATTGATGCCAGAACATTCCAGAGATTGACACAAAAGCCTTGTCTTCTCACACTTCCAGGCCGTCTCCAGTTTCTTGAATGTCCCGGTTCCTCAGTGTGTTGGAATTCCAGCTGATGATGGAGCTGAGCCTGAGGCGAGAGAGAGGCACCGTCCTCACGTTCAGATTCTCCTGATGAAGTCTTAAATGTGCACTTGTGTACCGGATGGAGGTGGTTACCCACGGTTACAGGTGATGATGGCTGAAAGCTGCAGATTGAGTCAAACTTAACATCTCTGCACAACGTTGTGATGATTGTCTGCTTTTCTAAACACTCATTATGAATTCATGCTTTTGTTAACATTTCCTACGAATTTTTTTTCTTTTCATACCAGGAATTATTTGGAGTTACCTGAAAAAAATTTTTGGTAATTTATTTTCTATTTCAGCTGAGTCAGATATTTGGTCCCCAGTATGTATCTGCATTTTATTATTACGCTTGTAGTGAACCCATCATTTTTAGCTGTCTGCTATCTGAAACTCAAAAATGCCCAAATTGTTTTTAATTTTATTTAATGCAAAACATGCAGATGTTTTTCTCATCAGAATGAAAGTAAAGATTATTGTTTCAGCAGCATTTCTTTTGCAAATTGTTCACAATTTGCTGTTGCAGAAGTTGTTGTTTAAGCTTTTTTCGCCTTTAAACTTAAAAATTTAGAGATTCGGAGATTAATATTTACATCCAAACAGAAAAAAACTACACAAAAAGCCCATTTCAAAATAAATCCTGAACCTTACTGAAGGAAAAGGATGTAAAAAAAAAAAAAAAAAAAAACAAAACCAAAACATATAGTTTATTTGTATCTGGTGACACCTGCTGGAGAAACATGTTTTGTTTTATTCTGCTTCATCCTAACTGTTCATTATTCATTTATTTCTGTCCAAACAGGAATTTTTTACACGGAACATAGTAAGTTTTGGCAGTAATGACTTCAGATCCAAAGAATGAAACATGTATTTTTCCTAGACTGTGTTTTAAAACATTTTTTATAAAATGTAAAATGAGTTTAGTCTGACTGTCTGCAGGTCTGCCACTGCAAAAATGGATTTTCAAGAAAATAAAGTCTTGTTTTTAGACAGTACAACTTTAAATAACGTAAATATTTTCCAGTACGAAAAGATGTTCATGTTTTGAGTAGGAAAAAATCTGCTAATGGGGTACGCAAACATGATTTGGCTAGAATTCTTAAAACTAGCAAAATTATCTGTTAGATGAGTTTGCTACTTACTCGTTTGCATTATTTTTGGTCTTCATTGATAATGATTATACTGCATTAATAATATGCATTACTACAAAATAAAAGCATAAATTTCTTTCCTCACAGTGTATTCAACAAATAATTCAATGGAAACAAAAAATTCCACTGTCTATCATTTATGAGATGTTACACGTCCAATTCAGTGTCTTTAAAACTTTAGAGTTGTTAATTTTAAACATCTGATTGTACTGCTTTAACTATGTTGCTGTAGGTAGAAACAGCAGAATTTATTAATCACAAACCAGAAGACAAAACATATAATTTAGACCTGATGACTTCCAATGACGTGACTCGAACAGGTTCAGATTAAAGGAGTCAAAACTTTAATTTTATTTGATTTATCTGCCACAAGGCTGTCGGCACTGTGATTTGGGGGGTGGTATCTGACTCCTGTTTGCAATGAAGAGGGTAAATTATTTAATTAGACTATTACAAACATCTGTGGATGGCAGCGCCCCCTGGTGGATTTAAAACATACATCTCATTCCTACTTCTCTGAGCAGAACCTCCCTGAACCGTCTACAGGTGGTTCAGAATGCCTGTGCTCGGCTTCTGACCAAGTCCTCCAAACACACCCACATCATCCCGCTTCTCCTCCAGCTTCACTGGCTGCCAGTCAACTTCAGGGTTCATTTCAAGATCCTGGTTCTGGTCTATAGGGCCTTACATGGACAAGCACCATCTTACATTGGTGATCTCAGTATTTACACCCCAGCAGGTTCCTGAGGTCCAGTGATCAAAGCCTACTGGTTGTGCAGCACCAGGCTAAAGACCAAAGGTGACAGATCATTTGCTGTTGTGGCCCCCAGACTCTGGAACGATCTCCCCCTCAGCCTGAGATCAGTGGACTCAGTGGTCTCCTTCAAAAAGCAGCTGAAAACTCACTTGTTCAGGCTTTTGTGTGAGAGCAGTGGGGCCCCCAACGGGTGGCCAGGGTTGGCCATGGCCATACCTAGAAAATGGCTGCCCACACCCAGGGAAGACCAGTGTTCTTTATAGTGTTCTGAGACGTTTCCTGTTTTATTTTTTGTATTCCTGGTTATTACGACCCCCCAATTTATCAGACTGTAAATCCTGAATAATACATTCATTTTCCTCTAATGTGCTGAAAAGTATTTTTTTTTCTAGAACCAAAAGTTATGTTGGTGCGTGTGATCCACCAGAACTTCAAGAACTTTCCTCAGAAACCTGTCGCATGGAGACATTGACAGGTCTCCTGCCTCCTGGTGGAGGATCTAAAACTGCAGGTGAAGAAAAGAAAAACAAATGTTATATCTGCTGATTATTGGTATATTGTTAAATAATGGCACAATAAAATATAATAAATTATTATGTAACTTTTATGATAACATTAACGAGTCAATATTTACATATTTTTAAAAAAGTGCATGATTTGTATTTTGCATATCAGGCTTTGCAATGATGAGATTCTTCTGGGCATTTGGACTCGTTACTGTGTTGGTGTTGAACTACTTCACATCAGAAGTTGGCAGATTTGACTCCCTTGTTCAGATTTTTTTCATCCATACGGACCCCCCCCCCCCCCCCCATCCCCCCCCCCCCCCCAATGTATTCCTCCATCCATCTCAGCTCCCGGGGACCAAATGAAGTCCACATTTCTCTCCCTCTGAGCTGTCAGGGCTCCACACATGGCTGAGGCTCGCTTTAAGAAATGAGACTACGGGACGTGGGATCCCTCGCTGACAGCATCATCTGAAGAGTCAGTCTAAATTAGATGCTCCACTCGCCGCTCAGACAGGATGGGATGTCCCCGGGGCCCACGGTGGGGTTGTGGTCCACCACAACTGTGTTTTGTTGCGTTTCATTCGGCTATGAGTCTTTGCTGAAGGGTTTTATTTAGTGAATACTCTTTTACCACTGAGGTAATCCTGCTGAGCAACACGGTGAAACGATGCAAGAAAAAAAAGGCTCATCAGGAAGGATTTACAAACATTTAAGTTCCATAAATAAATAAATGTGGGAATGTTCCATTAGGGAAACTTACTTTTTAAAGATTCAAGGTTAGTCCTGAGCAATCACAGGAGCAAGAGGTTTTATTTTTCTGGTTAAATAAAAGTTAATTAAGTAAATGTGGCCATCCATTACAGGAGTCAGAAGGAAGAGGGAAGAAAAGTATGGAACAAGATTCCTCCGCGTCATTCAAAAAACTCAGAGAAACTGAGAAGAATCTTCTCCAAGCACAACATCCCGGTAAACTTTAAACCCAGCAACACCCTCAGACAGAAACTGGTCTATGCAAAAGACAAAAAAACTCTTAACAGAAGCTTAGTGGCGGCGTCTATGCAGTCCAGTGTGGTGAGGACTGTCCAGACCACATGTGTCAGACACAAGGCCCGTGGGCCAGATGTGGCCCGCGAGAGATTCAAGTGTCTTAAAATAAGTCTGACGCTTCAAAATGCACATTGCTTATAAACTACATTTCCCATAATGCATGGCGATTGTGTTCCCAGTGCAGTGACTCGCCACTATGTTGCAGTGTATCCACTCCGTGTTTAATTAATGCAACAAGTGAAAATAACTGTCCACACCATCCATCCATTTTCATCTGCTTATCTGGAATCGGGTCGCGGGGGCAGTAGCCTACGATGAGAGGCCCAGACCCCCCCCCCCCCCCCTCCCCCCAGCCACTTGGGCCAGCTCCTCCGCGGGAATCCCAAGGCGTTCCCTGGCCAGGTGAGAGACATAGTCTCTCCACCGTGTCCTGGGTCTACCTTTAAGTCTCCTCCCGGTTGGACTTGCCCGGAAAACCTCACCAGGGAGGCGTCCAAGAGGCATCCTGACCAGATGCCCGATTCACCTCAACTGGCTCCTCTCGATGAGGAGAAGCAGCGGGTCTACTCCAGATAAAGGAAGTGACGCGCCACCATCAGCATCAGCCTGAGGAAGCCTGCAGCCGCCGGCGAAACGTAGCGACAAAACAGGTAACGAAAACTGTTTCTGTGTATTAAAAAGAACGACAGCATGGAATTAGAACTAATACACAGCAAGAACACACCTAAGATGTTCAAAGAGAAATACGGACAACAAGGAACAAAGGACTTCCGCCGTTTGGAGCGATTACACCAGAAACGCGCATGTCTAAGAAACCACCTTCACTTCTGTTTAAGATGCCGGGACGAAAACATCACACCTAACCCTACACAACAGTTAGAAACAGACTAGTGCACCCAAAAGACAAAATATCAGCTGGACTTAAATGTGGGTTCATTTACGAAATCCCATGCAAACTCTGCAATAAAACATACATAGGAGAAACCGGACGCCAACTCAACACACGAACAATAGAACACAGAAAGGAGTGCGAGAAGAAGGCAAATCGAAGACACACAAGAGCAGCAAAAGAAGAAGCAGAAAGCACAATAAAGAAGTCAGCTGTAACAGATCACTGCATAAGAGAAATCCATATAATGGACTGGGACAACACAAGGATCATAAACATTGAACAACAAAAATACAAAAGATGGATTAAAGAAGCAATCGAGATAAGGAGATGTGGAAGTGGGACCATGAACAGAGACGACGGAGTGTACACGTTGGACCGCGCATGGGACTGCATCGTCAGAGGGGAGAGCGGGCAGTAGAGGGCGGCAACGTCCTCTGCTGCCCGCGGATAAACGGAGAAGGAAGTGACGCGCCACCATCAGTGTCAGCCTGAGGAAGCCTGCAGCCGCCGGGGAAACGTAGCGATAAAACAGGTAACGAAAACCGTTTCTGTGTTTTAAAAAGAACGACAGCATGGAATTAAAGTGCTGCTGCATTTAGCGGTACAAGATCAAACCCAGAACGAAGAATGATTCATGATTTTTGTCCATGTAGGGCCACTTTTATGCTAAAATATCAAATATGCTCAAGTCATCACCAAGTCAACAGATGGAAGTCGATTCAAGTTGCAAGTCGTTGGCGTTCAAGTCCGAGTCAAGTCGTAAATCTTTGTAGATTTTATCACGTCAAGTCAGAAGTCATTAACCCTCTCGCTGTCTTCATGGGTGATCACGCGAGGAACGTTGACCATTGAGCAGGATTGATGGTTTATCTCTTGAGGTCCACGTAGCAGGGGTGAGGTAGTGCTCACTCCTCACCCCTGCCACATGGAGCCAAGGGATAAACCATCAACCCTGCTCAATTGTCAGCTATTCCTCGCGGGGTCACACCCATTAGGACAGTGGGAGGGTTAAAATAATGACTCGAGTCCACACCTCTGGTTATCAGTGATCGTTATCCACAAACACAAATTAGGTAACGGCTTCTTCTTTAAATGAAAATGCAGCTTTTAAAAAAATTCCCAAACAAAAGCATTCTGATGAACCTCTCTTAATTCTGCTCTTTCTATGTATTCCGCCTTTCCCGGGATCCACCAATTTCCCTCTTTCATATTTATTTACTCTCTCCCTTTCTATATATTTCACAATTTTTATTATTTGTCATAATAAACATATTTTAAAATATTTTTTATCATCTTTTTTCTATATTTAATTTTTTTTTCTTTCTTGAACTAAACAGATAAACAGTGAATTCATGAAGCTTTAATAACTCACTGCCTGTTAAACAAACACACCTGAACATTGGTGTTTGTATGACGTTTCCAGTCAAACGGATGGAGTTTAGAGAAAGGCTGAATTCATTCAAATTAGATCCAACAATTATCTGCAATTACAGCCGTGGAGGGAGATCTCACACCAGCTTTGGTTATTTGTGTTTGACGGAGGCTGCAGGGTCGTCAGAGGAGGAGAAGAGGAGCAAATGACTCATCTATCATCCATCTGAGGGAGGGTTTCTGTAGATCTTCATCTGCTTTTGTTGTTAAAGGAAACGGTGTCCAAATGGCACACATGTGTAATGTCACAACTGTGGGAAGATGAAAAACATCCAATTACACAATATAAACTGGACAAAAGAGATGAAAGAGGAATGAAAGTGAAATTTAGAGCAAGTGGAGCTGAGCAGCAACGCAATAAAACTCAAAAACCCCACAAAAAATAACTTAAAGGAGGAGAATGAAAGCTAAATGCAAAGATAAAACAATTAGGTGAAAAATGGAAAAAGAGAAGTGGAAAGTAACAGAAAACACAAAATGAGGGACAAAATAGGAAAATAGAAAAATGTAAATGTTAAGAAGTAACAAAATTAAGGAAGACGTGTAAAGAAATCTGAGCTAAAAGATGTAAAAACAGTAAAAACTTTATTGAGAACAAAATTAAGGAAGAC